GAATCACAAATGGTTTAGGTCCCTTTCGTAACTGATGCTTACATACCACATTAGGTACTTAGTTTAGGTCAATTTGACCCCAGGGAAGGCCCAGAACAGGTCCAGATACCATCTGGTACTCATGTTTCATTTCCGTGACTACAGTGAGCACAGACTCTGCCAGCCCAATTACCAAAACAACCCAAACCTTCGGTTGCCATACCTGATATTTAAATGAGGATTGTTTGACTCGGCCATTCCCACTCTATTCTACCCACTGCTTTCACTCTACCCTTACTGGGGAATGGTGATCATGAAACTATATATTTTAAATAAAAAACATTTTAACCAATGCTTATTTCGTCATGAGTTTAGACAGCCCTTTGTCAATCCATTGCTGGATGAAGGCCTCTCCACATCGTGTTGGTAATGTTTTTGTTTAACCATAGTTCACCAGTCTTGATTTGAAGCTTTCGTGACTGCAGGAATCCATACTCTCTGGTTCTTTCGGTAAAGTACTTCACCAGGATGGTCAATGCAAGTTGACCTAGGAGTGAGGTGAGGGCCAGGACCAGCTCAGATGTCACTCACCACCGTGCCTGGGATTCGAAATGTGATAACCACTTCACCGCCATTCCATACTCAGAGGAATGGGTTAGGTGAGGTTTGTTTTAGTTAAAATCAAATAACTTAAATTTTCGCCCCATAGTTTTAAAAATGGCATGGCTGGGTGGTTATGCATTGCTAGTGATTGTATGGAACACATTCCTTTTTGCTGCACCAACTGCAACGTCACGAATGGTTTGAGAGTCAGCCTAGGAAAAACAAATCATGCTTAGTAAAGGGTGCCAGACAGTCAACAGACCAGGCTGCCGTGGGGACACAGGCGCTCTCTGGTCCTGCCTGATTTCAGGGCAGTTGCCAGCACAGTTTGCACCGGTTTCGAAAATGAGGAATAATGTTGGTCGTGGCTGGGAATCAAGTTCATATTTATAGTTTTTAACCAGGTGAGAACTCCAGAGACCAGGATAGTATCATTTGCAAGAGTGACCTGGACCAACACAAGTTGTGCTATAATCCGCAAACCACTGTGCCACATAACTAGTGGGGTGAATACTGTTTGAGAAAACCATTTCGCGAGAACCTATAAACAACCAAGTTCATTCTTGCAAACGAAACAATCCTGGTATTCTGAGTATTCAGTTGGGTAAACAAAATGCACTGCAACTATCAATGCTGCCACAGAACACAATTGGGGCATTCAATGAGTGCTGATAACACCTCGTTCCCTCCCCAATGCCAGGTACTAATTTTAGGCTGAGTTGACCTAAAGAAGGCTCAGATTAGATTCATACACAAATTGTCATTTTTCGTAATTAAATTGTGTAATTGCCAGTCGGATATAAACAAGGTTTTGACCATGGCAGGCAAAAGGGTTTGCTGTTGTTTCCAATACACGTACTACTGTATTTTGATTTAAAGCTTTCGTGACTGCAGGGATTGATATTCCTGGTTCTTTCGGTAAAGTCACGTAGAAGGGAAACAATAAAATAATAAAAATATAAAACAATAAAATTCTCACGACGTTTCGACTGCAACACAAGCAATCATCATCAGGTGTGAAAACCACAGCAAGAAAATTTGAAAAAAGTGGCGTTTTTTTATTTTCTTGCTGTGGTTTTCACACCTGATGATGATTGCTTGTGTTGCAGTCGAAACATCGTGATAATTTTATTGTTTTATATATTTTTTATTATTTTATTGTTTCCCTTCTACGTGACTTTACCGAAAGAACCAAGCATACTACTGTATTGTTCGTGAAAAAAAATCACTCTTTTCTCTTGCTTCTATATTTAGCATTCACACATTTACAATCCATAAAAAAGTAAATGGTACGGTATTTATTTTAAATATGTTCGGTATGTAAAACAAATGACAAGAATGTCTGAACTTCTTTTGAGATTATATTGCATACAGTCGCTGAATCAGCATGCTTGACATTCCCGAAATGCTACGTATTGTACGCATACATGTAGTACACGCAATCTTTTTTTCTATGCATAATATATAAGAGTGTAAGCAATTTGATTTTAAAGCACATGCGTTGAATTGTACATGTTTGGTGAGTGCTTTTGCCCAGATGTCTGGACATGTTATCTGCCCACAGTGGGTTAAGTTGTCCTTGACATGATTATACATTTGACACCTCGTAGGCCCTAACCTGGATAAATGTTGCCAGAAATAAGGAAATCAACACGGCAATAAATAATCCAGCTTCTGTTGTGACATATAGAACTATCATATGCAATTCGCTGATTTATGATAACACTGATGATGGTAATGCTGATAAAGATGAGTGGCAGGGTGGCACATCGGTAACACTTGTGCCTCACAGCAAGATGGGCTTGGGTTCGATTCCAATTCCGCCTTTCTGTGTGCAATTTATTTTCTGCCTGCTGTGGGTTCTCTGATTTCCCCCCACAGCTAAACCCCCAAAAATCCAATGCATTGCGCTTGGTATGGGCCACAAATCTCCCCTAACACATTGCTGGGAAATGACTCGATTGGGATTGCACCTAGCAACATCTCCTCCTACTGGGAAAAAAAAAATATTGGCAGGACTATCGTGAAAAAAAGGCTTTCCTGAATAAACAAGCATCGTAATAAAAATAATTGTATTACCATTAGGACGTGAAAATAATGATGATCATAATAATATTGATATGCTGCTGCTGATAATGATGTGTTGGTAATAGTTGAGTTGATTTTTGATGATAATGGAAATTACAATGCCATGATGTAATTCAATAATATATAATTTATGCATTTTAGCATAATTACCTATTTTAACTGTTTAACTGTTTATTTGGTGATGCATCATTGGTAATAGTGCACACACACAATCGACAATGAAGTAAACACATGCGTCGATAATGCTGTAGCTTCAAAAGGAAAAACACATAACCATGCAAAAAAAAAGTATTGCAATAGTAATTATTTGTACAGAATACCCTCACTAAATCCTTCTCAGAAAAGTATCTCTAGGAATCTAGCGGTAATTAATTATTTACTGGATTTATTTGAACAAGGAAATTCGTGTGTCCAGAGAAAATGTTATACGGACTTGACGCACTGCCAGCTTACAACCCTGCGGAGTTGAGTGTCTCACAAGATATGCTCTCAACATAATCCATCAATCTTGCGTGTTTATGACGGTCATTATTGGGGGCTAAATTAGACCACGACAAGACGGAGTGGTGGGGAGGTGGGGGTGCTTTAGGGGGCTGGGAGAGTGGAGGCTAGAGTGTGGGGTGAGTCAATCCACGCAGATGTTTATCATCATCAGCCATGGCCACTCCACTGCTGGATGAAGACCTCCCCAAGCCATCGCCATTTCTAATGGTTCTGCGATGCGACAATCTATCTGGCACAAGCTGACTGATGTCATCGCTCCATCTCCGTGGTGGATTTCCTCTCTGGCGTGTTCCTTCCTTTGGCTGCCACTCTGTCACAGGTCTTGACTATGGGCCAGCGTCCCCTCTAGCCACCGTGTCCTGCCCACGCCCACATATCTCAATGTCTCTATCTCGCGTTGTGTTCCGTCTCTCAGTGCAATTCCAAGAATATATATATTTTGCATAGCAGGAAACACAAATCAATTAGAAATGCTCTCTTGTTCCCTTGTAAGGTACATTGCTATGATTATCTTCATTCGTAATTCCAGTTATCCAAAAGCACTCGACCTGTTTTCGTACGCCTCTTTATTTAATAATTTCGTTATCGCCTGCGTTCATGAACCGTCCTAGCTGTACCTACAGTTGACACGTAGAAGTAAGACAGCATTTTCTGCATGAATGTGCAGTGGCCAAGGGAATTGACACATGAAAGTCACAGGTTCAAATCCCTGGCGTAGATTATGATACTTTATTGCTTGAATTATGCCCATAGACTAACACTCTCTCTACGGAGTGATGCTGTTTTTTTTAGAGTATAGGCGGATATGTGTAGAAGTCGGATACGTGAACATCTATAGCAAATGACGATTACACCGCGCACAAATGCAATGCAGTATTCCCTCAGTAAAGTCACGTAGGTATAAAAAATAATAATAAATTAAATCACTTGTGATTTTTTTTAATTAAATCATTTGTGATTTAATTTTTACGGAGTGACACTTGCGATTTTTTTATTTACCGAAAGAACCAAAGAGTATGGATACCTGCTTGCACGAAAACTTCAAATCGAGATTGATTCCGTATTCTCTCGTTGTTCACGAATTTGCGAACGGTGGTTTGTGGCTATCCGCGAATCGCATATAGCATCGAAAGTGAAAGAGACAGAGAGTTACGAGATATAAAGTAATGAGAGATACAGTCGTGAGAGAAAAAGCGATGACATAAAGAGATGAGAGAGATACGTACTTTTAACGTATTTAATCGCTTATTGATGCATTTATTTAAGGTCATTCATTAAAAAGATAGGTTTTTCGTAGGCCACTATCATTATCCGCGAAATGTGTTATTCACGATCATCTCTCGAACGTATCCCCTCGCCAATGACGAGAGGAATGGTGCACTGCAATGGGTGTGGGTGATTAATTAGCCAAGATAGATATGCGACGTCGTACCGTGCTGCAGATGTGAGCGTGCATGTGTGTGTGAGTGTGTGTTGGCGAGATGTTAACTCCCTCGCCTGCTATACAGGAGGTCGTGGGTTTGATCCCAACCCTGACGCCTGCTGCTGTATATTTGGAGTTTGCGTGTTCTCACCGTGGATTTTTCTCCGGGTCAATTCGTTGATTATCCCCTCCACATTTAGAAACGTGCGTTCGGAGTGTTTGACTGCGACTAGAAATTTCCACGTGATAAGCCGCTTCCGTTGAGCTATCATTTGTCACCAGGTCGCTTCTGAAAAAAAAGGGGCTACGTGGCTCAGTGTGCATTACCTGGTAAAAAAAGCAAAATAAAAAAATGCATCCAAAATTATTGTCAGCGTGTGTGTGTGTCGAGGTATTCGCGCACGCTTAGCTCATATGCGGCCACTGCGATGCCAGATGCTGCTCCTGTGCCGGCCAGGCCGATGAAGCTGCCGCTGCCGATGTTGCTGGCGAAGAGCGACGCCCCGACCTGCCATCGGGCATACACCGTGCATTCGCATAGCGCACACAATAATACAGGACATAGACAAAGATCCCCCCCTGTGTAGACTTAACAGACTGTTGGGGCAAGTGCTGTGAGCGAGCACCTAATGAAGGCCGGCACGGCACACGAGGGGGGTGGGTGGCCAGCACCCACGCCCGACCGCCTTTGTCTCCCCAGTGGCGATGTTCGCACACCGCACCGTGGTTCCTAATTCGAGGCTGAGTCGACCTAGGGGAGGTCCAGTCCGATTATAACCGTTACAATTATGATAATCGTTACGATTATCATAATCGTTACTGGCGTTGGCCGTGAGTGGGAGTTGAACTCGGGTCGCCGGGTTTACAACACACACACACAAGCACTCCACACGGGAGATCCATAACTGTCCACGCACGCACACTGATCTCCCACTCACTTATAGTCGGAGTGCTGTCAGGCACAAATTAGCATCGAGGCATTGCTCATTTGCTGTTTGCAGCCCTGGGTGGAAATTCCACAGAGTTATGGCGAGGGCCGAGACATTAGCGTTTTCTTTCATGCAAATTGCATGTCATCATCACTGAGGATACACCAGGCGAGCTGGAAGGCAGTAGCCAGGCGGTTAGCGTGCGCCAACATTCTCCTAAGCTTTGCATTTTTTCTATACAATATATGAAGATGTATTCAGCGAATTAATTTTAATTACAGGCAAAGTGCTTGCCACAAATGAACCACAACACCTTGCTGACCTCGTCAAGGAGTTTAAACCATCAGCGGTTTCTGGCTGGCCATCGAACAGAGACAGTGGTCACCGCATCACGTGCTTTCAGACGCCCTTATGCGGCCACCTGGAATGCTCTTCCTTCCGATGTGAGGAAGCCGCTGCAGCTATCGACTTTTTTTTAATACTGATTGAGAACCAATTTCTTTAGAGCTGCTTTTTGTGTTCAGTATGTTGTCCTTCCCCCGCACCTCCGAGGAGCGTGGTGTGGCTACGTACGGCGCGAAAGAAGTTCAACATACATACAATGAGTGTTTATGCAAGTGGCAGGAAAGCGGAGCACCTGGAGAAAGCCCACGTGTGCACTGGGGCAACATCCCAGGGGTCGGCAACCAAAATAACAAGAAGAGCCATTTGCTTAGAATTCGGTACAAAACTCAATATTTCATGAGCTGCGCTACCTTTGACTTAAAACTTTCGTGACTGCAGGAATTCATATTATTTGGTTCTTTCGGTAAAGTCACACAGATAGAAAATAATAATAAAGTTAATAAAAATAATAAAAAATAATAAAAAATAAATAAAAACCACGACATTTCGATCGCAACACAAGCAGTGATGACGACCGCTGGGTGTTGCGATTGAAACGTCGTGGTTTTATTTTTATTCTTTTTTATTATTATTGTTTCACTTTATTATTTTATTCTTCTATCTGCGTGACCTTACCGAAAGAACCAAAGAAGAATAAGCTGCACTACCTGTGAATACATACATACATAACCGGCTCTGGAGCCGCAGGTCACCGACCCCTCCTCTGTTCCATAAAGAAGGGACAGTTAATATCAATCCACACTTTGCTGTGCCGCTTTCTTCCGTGTGAGTCTGTGTATCGCACGTCGTGGCTGAGAATGATTCTTGCTGCCTGCTAAGCATACCCACGAATGGCCACTTGCTAATAGCGCCTCCGCTTACGGGCCATTGTATGGCCACTTGCTAATAGCGCCTCTGCTTATGGGCCATTGTATGAATGTTCCTCTCTGAAGGACCACATTTTATACGTATACACATCAACGAAATTGTTATAATTTCTGACAGACTCCATGAGAAATGTATTTTAAACCCTTTAATAATCCCAGCATTTCCCTTTGTCGATATCATGCTTAAATGTAAAGCACTGCGGAATAATGTGTGAAAATTGGTTGCTTTTAGAGCACAATCACCCATTTACGTGGCTGATTGACACGTGAGGCCAAATGGCCCAGAGGGTTTTCTAGTTTTCTATCCCAGGATAAAATGTTTCCGATATGATCACATAGCATCATCTTTGGCTACATGCACACGCACATATTTATTATGTAAACATTATGCTCTCTCAAGAATCATGCGTGATTCCCAATCTGGGGAGGAGGATGACAGTCTCCCATCTGTTAATAAGTTTTCCCCTTGTTTCTGGCAACAAAACAGCTGTGTTAAGATGTTAAAACACCAAACTGAAACCTTTTTACAAGGAATCATGTCTGCATTAACCACAATGCTTGTGGTCAGAATGCAAACAAAAACACACACTCTGATAATATATGATGCATTGTCTCGGAAACGGATTGGTCCACACCAGAGACAGCTTTCTTTGAGCCTCGTTTCAAGCGGTGTTAGACCAGGGGACGCCAAAATGTGTACAGCCCAAAAGCAGTGCACTATCAGAGTAACGAGAGCTCGGGGTGAGCATCTACGTCATCTCTTTTGTCTGTCCTCTGAGCCAGACTACCTCATTGCTGTCCATATTCTTGGTTCTTTCGGTAAAGTCACGTAGAAGGGAAACAGTAAAATAATAAAATATATACAAAACAATAAAATTCTCACGACGTTTCGACTGCAACACAAGCAGTCATCATCAGGTGTGATTGCTTGTGTTGTAGTCGAAACGTCGTGAGAATTTAATTGTTTTTTATATATTTTATTATTTTACTGTTTCCCTTCTACGTGACTTTACCGAAAGAACCAAGAATATGAATCACTGCAGTCACGAAAGCTTTAAATCAAAATTTCACCTCATTGTTGTCCATATTCTCATTGCTTTGTCTCGCTTTCGATCTCTTGCCCTCAATTTCCCAGTGATGCAACGCATTTTTCAAGCCCCTTCTTGTACCGTCACACGTCCCAGCAATGTCGCCTTCCCCATCGCTATTACCCTTGCAAGTTTACGATTTTGCCTTGTTCTATTTAATACTGTGGAGTATAACAATGCAAATAACGCACGCATAAAATTGCGATAATGATGCATTCATGTACACGTATGTCATTTTTACACGGATATCTGAAAATTTAGCGTGTGTAAATATGTAATCTGTTTTTTTTTGCATTTCATAATGTATATTCACAATATATTGTAGTTCTGCATGACGCATTGGATCATTATTAATTATTCTAAATGTTAACCAGACGTGTGTCAGAATGCTTTTCTGTTTGTGTAGGATGGCCTCCAGTAATCAATCGACAAAAAGATGTTTACGTGTTCTGTGTATCATGTGCGCAATGCCTTAATATAATGGCAGCCACGAGATGCCCACTACATTCACCACAAAATAAAACAAAATTAATCTTGAATCGAAATATCACCCTGAATCACACCAATTCAATTAATCACGAAGGGGGTGAAAAAGTTATACCCACGGTGTATTTGTTTAATATATTGCCTTTTATTTTGTACAAAATATATTACATTACAGTATAATTAACATTATTAAAATCAATAAAAAATGATGTTGATCTCATTGATTCAATCAAACTGTGCACACGTAAAGCAAAATAATGTGCAGAGCCTATCTCTGCGCCACCTTTGAGTTACTGATGTAAATCCCACATTCCTATAGCGGGCTGCCTGTGTATCTATCCATACGAGACCCACTCTACGCTTTCCACGAGGCCTAATTAATTTAATCGCCAATGCATGAATGATGGGCAGAGTTATTCACCATCCAGAATTTGAAATCACAACCTTCTCAATGTGATCCGTCCTTGATTAGGCCGTTACCGAAGCTGTCATTTCCCGACAGCAATTCCACGTCTTTATTTTCATTATCGCGGACAATACAGCTGTTTGGAGTTGAGGCGAGGGGAGACAGAGTGAGCACACCATGCAGTGGGCAGGAGAATGTACTGCAAAGACTAGCTCAAACAATGCCGTTAAGACATTACACTTCCAATGCGAACGATTTACATCATATATGGTATCTAATATCCTTCAATTTAATATTTGGGGCCGTCCATAAATGACGTCACGCACCTGGGGGGGGGGGGGTTAGACATTTGTGACGATGTGTGACGAGGGGGGGGGGGGGAGAGTTTGAGAAATGTGACGTCACATCAAAATGCGCAACTTTAAATAAATATAGACAACACGTTCTACTTAATGAAATAGACTTGTTAATAAATGTTTTCTCCTACAAAATCGGAGTGCAGCCCCACATTAAATACGCACTACAATTACGATAGTTTAATGCCATTTGTAGCATGTTTTTTTGGGGGGGTTGGGGGGGGCAGAGCTTTGTGACGTCATATTTGAGGGGGGGTCTGACTTTTCGTTACGCCGTGTGACGAAGGGGGGGCGGGGTTCAAAAATCATTAAAAACATCGCGTGACGTCATTTATGGACGGCCCCTTTGGCCAGGGGGGACTGTCGTCAGGACACGTGACTCACAATGAAAAGGCTTTGAGTTCAAATCTGGGGTCAACTGACCATCTCCTAAGTGGACATCCTCACGGACACTGATCACTCAGCTGCCATGAGATCATTATTCCATCATCCCTTTTAGCAATGAGCCTACTTACTTTTTCTAACAATTAGAATTATGTATTTTTATCTGTGTTTTTTTTCTCCAAAACAATATGCTCCTTTGTCTGTCTCTCAAAGGAATCCCGGCATGTGTCTCTTCGTGATTCGTTGCTCACTTTTCTTCATGACAATGACACAGCCCACTAATGTATTTGGCTGTTTTGCCCAATCGATGAATCTGCCCCCAAGAATGTATCCCTGTTTGAAAAAATGTATTACCAAAAAAAATGCATTGTGATTTTAGAGATAGAACATCTGCAAATTCACCCCCATGTAACCTCATGTTGTTCCTTGTGGGATGGGAGGTGACAACTGAAGGATATATTCAATCCTTGCAATCTTCACATTATACAAATTGGGACACCAATATCTTGCCTTTACCGAATGTATGTTGTGTGCGTTTGCATTGGCTGGGCGGGTTTTTCTTTACGTTGTTAATTTGTTGTAACAAGGGGAGTACAAAATGTTAATCTGAATACTGTCTTACATTTTTACATAATTAAAATGTTTAGATTAGAAGTGACTTTTGGGTATCTGTCGTGATTTTATGTATCCTGCTCATGATAAAATAAACATACTCCTCGACAACGAGACAGCGAGCACCATTAAGTATAGCATTAGTTATTTATTAAGATCTGCTCATACAACGGGTGACACTCATCTGCATTGTTGGTGCTCAGCCAGTGTTGGATATTCTACATTCCCATGGCAGAGTGCAGAATATTCTCATGTCAAGTTAAGTTGACCTCTGATCTGAACTCAAAGCCTTCTCATTGTGAGTTCGAGTTCCTGACCGCAATTGCTTCCAGCCAAATATATAGTTAAAAGATGACAAATATAGCATGTACACCTTACACATTTAAAATCATAATGTCCCATCGTACAGTTGTGTTTTGATAGTCATGATATTGGTGCTGGTGGTGCTGGTGGTGCAGGTAGTGGTTTCTCTTACCGGCCACCAAACAATGTCCTTTCCGGCCAAAAAGTATCCACTCACATTATTGCGGTTGGACCGGCACATGGACTACAAAGACACGGTGAAACGATAGTGTCAAGGGAAGAAACATGACCCCTTCCCCCATCTCCTTGTTCCTTTAATGCACTGAATTCACAATGTGAAAAATCTTCATTCCAACGCATCTGTTGTTGTACACACCGGCGTAGCTCTATCACTCTCATCCATTTGTTGTCCTTTCAGGCATTTTTCTGAAAGCTGTTCTCGTACCCACGTTTATTTCAGTAAAAGCATTTTGCATAGGAAACATCTCACCGGCACAAATAATTGACAGTCTCAAATGCACCTGTAAGTGCTTTTGAAAAAAACAAAATCATTCGGTGCTCTTTTAAATGCCTCAAAGAGACAGAGAGGTGCGATATTTATATACACGATGAGAATGAAACTGAGAGTCTAAAGTTGGTAATATAGACAATGCACACAAAAAACGAAGATCAATAACCGATCCAAACCATAGGTCATTTAAAAAAAGGCATTATACCCTTTAAAGTGCAGTGTTTGCATTTGTAAAGAAAGGTTAAACATTAAAAACATTCCTTCACCCCCCCCCCCCCGCCCCCACTGGAAATCCTCTTTGCGTGACACGATGTTAATGTATACAATTTGTCTTACACAAATTCAGTGAATTTGGCTGGAATGGCAATTTATTGGTTAGCAGTCACTTATAAGCTGCGGCAAATGTCTACAAGCTACTGTACATGGAATCAAAGCACACGTGGAGGTAGAGCACAATTCAGGGAACTTGCACAGGGCCGGTTCGTAGGGAGTACATTCTTAAGTTCCTGCCACCACTCTGGTCATTTATCAAAGAATGCAATGCGCTTTTTTGTGATACAGACTAGAACTAAAGACTCTGTGACATCAGTTCACAATCGTGTGAGCCCATGCCGGCATTTTTTGGCAGAGCGACAGCGTTTGTCGTGGGAAAATTGGACAAAAAAAAATGCAATTCACTTGTGGCCAATTTCACACAATACCTCACCCACTCAGCCGTAACTTGTACTGCAATTGTGGAATTACCTAATGGTGGAAAATAGTTTCTGCTATTTTTTTTCCAACTGGATTTCGACACAATTAGACAATTCAGAGCAGGTGTGTGTTGCTCTAAATGTTGTAGCAAGTGGGAGAATAATGTAGGCTCACGTGCAGTATAGGGAGATGATCACACTGATCAAAATACATATGTATGTTGAACTTTTTTCAGACCGTACATTGCCAACCGTGCTAATCAGAGATGCGAATATGAAGACATGGAGATAAAGACAAAGAAGAAGATGATGATGCATTTACTAGTCATCTCAGTCAGTCACCCCATGGCACCTAGCTCTGTCCAGTCACCCGTCAGCGAGCCTTCGACACTTCACGTGGCCTCAACGTGCACCTGGCCTCAACGTGCACCTGGCCTGGCACAGGCGCCGTGGTGACGTCACCACCACTAGCTGCGAATGACGGCTGTTGTTAATGCGGGGAGCGGTAGTGTAGTTGTTAGCGCGCTGAGCTGCAAACATGACGACCCGAGTTCCAATCCCGTTCACGGCCAACATCAGTGACGATTATCTCAACCGGTTCTAGGTCGACTGGCACACGAGGAGGTGGGTGACCAGCGGCACGCCCGGCCGCGTTTGACTCCCCAGTTGCGATGTTTACACACCGCACCAGGTACTCATTTGAGGCTGAGTCAACCTAGGGGGAGGCCCAGGAATCTTTCAGATAATCGTCACTGGTGTGGCTGTGAGCAGCAATCGAACTCGGGTAGCCTGGTTCATAGCGCAGCGCGCTAACCGCTACACCACCGCTCCCCACTGCCATCCACTCAATGTGGTGGGCACTGTATTAATTTCCCATTCAAATTTCAGCATGAATAATTAAAGCGAGTCCTGCTATTTTGAGGCACTGTTGCATCGTTATCCGCAGCACTTAATCACGCATGATTAGAATTGGGTACAATTTTAATCAGTCACTCACATGCACTATGCATATATCAGCCGCTAATGTCAAGGTATTGGACGTACAGCATTCCAAACTGGAAGCGCTTGATTTTGTCTATTAGCACAGGAAATCTTCATCGCCTCTCTTTGTAATGTTCATGAAAAAAAACACTCAACATATTCGTCAATAACACCGTGGCCTTAAACGGAAAAGGAGTATGACAGGCGATGTTTCAAGCAACGACCCTTCTTCACAGCACACAGAGAGAAGAGGCCAGAGAGACGAAAGGGCATTAGCCCAAACGTCGCCCATTGTACACGCCTTCATTTAAAGACCACGGTGATATTGACGAATGTGTTGAGTGTTTTGTTATGTTTGTGCTTGTGCAGGACAACCAGCGTGGCTGAGTTTAATTTTCGCAAGGCAATATGCTAATTGAGCCGCATTCATGTAACGGTTAATCCCTCGATTTAAAGCTTTCGTGACTGCAATGATTCATCTTCTTTGGTTCTTTCGGTAAAGTCACGTAGAATGAGAATAAAATAATAAATTGATAAAATAAAATAACGCAATAATATTATTGGTTCTTTCGGTAAAGTCACGTAGAAGGGAAATTTGTTTATTATTTCATTATTTCCCTTCTACGTGACTTTACCGAAAGAACCAATAATATTATTGTGCTATTTTATTTTCTCAATTTATTATTGTATTCTCATTCTACGTGACTTTACCGAAAGAACCAAAGAAGGTTAATCCCTCATACATCTCAATATTGTCTACTTCGCATTTTTCAAACGCTGAAACATTTTTTTTTGCTCCCTGTGTGAATCTTGTGCCATGAGAATTACGTGCAGGAGTTGTTGAAATGTGAGCAACCTGCTTGTCCTGTTTGGAGCCATTCATAACAGGTCCAAATGCTGGCAGTGTATGCGCCGTGAAATATAAGGTTGCATACTTATATATGGAAGGGTAATTTTGATAGGGATCTAAAAAAAGACATGTAGGTTCAAATGCTCAATTGCTCGTGCTGGGCTTTGCAGACAGACAGTGTCGGCTTGGCTAATTGAATAAATGCACTTTATTGGTTTTGAAAAATTGATTTTGGTCTTGAAAAGCAAAATGCATTTGTGTCTCGAGTGAAAAGAGTCCTTGATCAATACAGGCTGCCAGGTGTGATATGTGGATCAAACAGCTGCTGCTTTAAAGTGAAAATGTTCTATTAAAACTGAAAACTACAGGAAACTAAACCTTTATAGAGATGTGCGTTAGAAATCATCTGAATAGACAGGGAGATTAAAAAAAAATGGCTTGGATTTAACAAAAAAAAAAACCTAACATTAAGTGCTGAAAAAAAATCAATTGAACAGAGCTGATGTGACTGTGGGAAGGCAGCTGATAAAAACAGCATACATGTAAGGACTTGAGGTAGCCAAGAAAGAGACAGAGTGAAGTAAATGTTCGTTGTGGCTTTACTGGACCTTGGGCTATGGAATTGACAAAGGAGCTTTTCACCTTTGGTGGATAGACAATGGCGAGCAACGATCTATAATGCATACAGTTATTGGCGATGATGGTCACGGTTGATTTTAGCATGTAAATACAATGCGTGCGTGCACATTGTGTTGAAACACTCCTCAAACTACGGAGATTGTTTTGTTTATTTAAATGTCTTATGAGCAGGTGCCCAGTCAATTAAATTCACATTTACAAATACGTGTTTGCATTAACATTTAAGCAAGTGAAAAAGTTTTTTTTTCTATTTTTCCTTCAGAACAATATACAACACATATTCTTAGTTTTTTCGGTAAAGTCACGTTGAAATTATTTTGTTGTTTCTCTTCAACGTGACTTTACCGAAAAAACTAAGAATATGAATTACTGCAGTCACGAAAGCTTTAAATCAAAATTTAATATACAACACGTTTGTTGGCAACAAAGTACGGTATTCTCTGCATTATAAGCCATACTTTTTCCCCCTCTGTATAAAAAAAAGTAGAAAGTGCAATTCATAACCAGAATCGGCTACTGGTAAATGGGCCCCTCCGTAGCAATACCGTATTCTCCTTATTTATATAACATGAAAAAATAAGTTTGAGGTACGTCTTACTTTCCGGAGCAGCTTATAATCAGTAGAATACAGTACTTAATGGACAACATACACATTTAAAGCATGTGTTTATGTATATATGTATTACAATTCTCGTTGCTGAATTTCTACAGAACGCAGAACCAGGATGAATGGACAGGAGTAGGAGGTAAAGGAACATTTAAAGAGGTGAGTTTTTCAAGACGAACTTAAATAACTCGAACGACTCCGATTGTCGTATTACCAAAGGCAAAGCATTACACAGGAACAGAGCCTTGACCTCGGAGTGCATCGAAGAAGGCGATCCGAAGATCCCAGGGACATCATTGGAGTATAAAAACGGATCCGTTCCTGCAAATATTTTGGGGCTAACCCATTGAGATCCTCGTAGGTAAGCATACTGTGCATAAGCGCAGTCACGCAACGCTGTGACACTTACCCAAATACCGACAGCTAGGACCAGAACAAAGTAGACCACGATCACCACTATGTCAACCGTATCAATTGTAGCTTTGCTGGAGGAGGCCATTGTAGGTAGTGTCTGTGGCGATTAGGTTAACAGGTCCCAGAGTCCAGAATATAAGGGCGAAGTGGAGTAACCTTTGATCAACTCCAGCTTTGTTTTGTTTTACACGCAAGTTGTGTTTATTGCTCACCGGGCCTTTAATTTTTAACCCAGTCATGCTGTAGAACGTGTAGATTTGTTATTCCGTTAAATAATGTTTGTGCCTTTGAGCCTGAGAGTCTTGTTTGAATTCTGAGATTTTCGTTTTAGTTTGTTGTCCTTCGCATGCAACTCCGATTTGCACGGTTGGCTACTTACGGTGCGAAAGAAGTTCAACATACATACGTACATGAACCTTGTGTGTGGCATTACCACCCGGTGGAAATGTGTTCACCTTGCTCATATTTTGAATTCTAATTAACATAGAGAAAAAGCCCGTGACCAAATCACCAGGAAATGTGCATGATCTCGTTAGATCTCAATAAGCCAAGCAGGCTTGAGCCTGGATCATGCTTGGATGCGTGATCACCATGCATAAAACAGATGCTGTGTGCTGTTGTGGGGCGGTGTTGTCAGCAAATAGCAGTGGGGCAAAACGCATTTTTATACTGTACTATGTTCCAACATATGTGCTCATTTTCATCCAGCACTAACCGGCGTGGAGAAGTATGGTTAAGTAACCACCATCACATACACTGCGTGGAGAGGCTCTTATCCAACAGCGAAGTGCCTAAAAGGGTTCGCACATGTATAAAAGAGTAAGTAGGTTTTCTACAGACAATCTGGGTTTCTATCACTTAAAGCGTTCCTAGCAGAACCATTCTGAAACCCATTCTTTTAGATATAAATCTTTTTTTTCTAGAATACTGTTATTATCCACATAACAGCAAGATGACAAACATATAATGACTGCCTGTTGGTAAAACATCAAGTGACTTCATGTTCATACGATCCATTGAGGTGGCACTCATCTTTATTGGCAGAACTTTTACGTAAATTATAGTGTTCGTTTATGAAATGCTGCACAGTATTTAAAAGGTATTCAACATTGTTTAGGACTAAGTTGTCATATTTAATTACACTGACAACATCTTGTACACCGGCCTGTATTAGCCATACATAAATGACAACATTCTGTTGGAGAGAATGAAAACATACCTTCGTGCAAATATTTTTTTCATTTGTTCTTGCTTTTTTACACGATGCTTTGTGCAGCACCTTTCATCTCTCATCAATGCGATTATTCATATATATGGCATCATGGCACATAATTACATTGCCCGATTGTAAAACAATATATATACGCCGGTGCCATTCCTGTGACAGGGCTCGGTCAAGAGGTGTCTTTTCATTTTCTGTTGATTACATGCATTATA